AGAGAGAGAGACAGAGAGACTGAGAGACTGAGAGACCGAGACCGAGACAGACAGATGGACAAAAGGACGGACGGACAGACAGAGAGGGTCTCACTATGCAGTTCATGCTGTCCTTGAACTCATTATGTCGCTCAAGCTCTCCTCAAACTTCAGGTAATCCTCCTGCCTCAGTCTCTAACGTGCCAGAATTATAGGCATACACTGCCATGCTCAGCTACTTAATTTGTGCATTTAAAAATGGTTACAAAGATAAATTTATGTTGTATCTATTTTAGTCATAATAAAAGGGAAGGGGGAAAAAAAGCAAGCCTTTTTCAGGCATACAAATGTCAAACGAAGGGCTGGGGATATAGTTCAACAGCATACCACCCGCCTGGCAAGCACAAAGTCCAAAGTTCAATTCGCAGTATAAAATAAAGTCAAAGAATTAACCATCACCAGGATAGCACAATACTTCATATTTGAATATTACATAAATAAAGATCATCACAACTCTGGACAGTAAAATAATATCCAATAAATTTCAAAGGACTTGAATCATATAAAATGTATTTTCTGCTCAGAAATGGTAACTATAGGACTGGGAAGATAGCTCAGTGGTCTAAGCACCTGCTGGGAAAGTGCAAGGATCCAAGTTCAATCCCCAGTATCACATGCCATGCCAGCCCCAGGCATTGAGCCGGCTACCAATACCAGGAGTGATGGCGCATGCCTGTAATCCCAGCACTGGGGAGGCTGAGTGAGGAACAAGTCCGAGCTGTGTAGCAAGACCTTATTCAAATCAATCAATCAATCAATCAATCAATCAATCATTCATTCATTTAAAAAGAAAGAAATGCTAACTATAAATGAATACAAAAAAATACTTTCTTGGGACTAGGGAGATGGCTCAGTGGAATAAGTACTTCCCTGGCATGCGCAAAGGCCTGAGTTCAATCCCTGGTTCCACAAAAACAAAATCAAAACAACTTTCTTAATGTTAGTTCTCTGAAAAGTTCATTTCTTGGGCTGTGTTATGGATTGTGTCTAGTTGTCCCCCCAAAGCCTCATGTAAGTCGCAGCACCCCAGTCTCTCCTCCAGACCTGTAGAGTAGGGGTAGTGTTTTGAAACCTCCAGTAACTGTGAGCTAAATAAATCTTTCCTTACCTCATTTTAAGTGTCAGGTATTTGTCCCAGCAATGAGGGAAAAGTAACTATGACAGTCTGTCTCAGTAACAACAGTTCTTGCCCTACATGCACAAGACCTTGGGTTCAATCCCCAGCACCACAAAAAAAAAAAATAAAATAAAATAAAAAACTCATTTGTTTTAATAAATTTTTTTTTAATTTTATTTTTGGTCTTTTGGAGACCAAATGTAGTTCAGGCTAAGCCTTGAATCGACTTCACAGCTTAGGCTGGCCTCAAATTTACAGTGACCAGCCTGCCTCAGTCTCTCGAGTGCTAGGATTACAGTAATTCAGGAGCCTGACCCTAAATATATGAATTTTTTAAAAGCCTCAATGGATGAACTGACTAAGGAAATGTGATATGGGTAGAGATGTGAGTGTACTATACCTGTGCACTATTTATTATTATTTAACCTTAAAAAAAAAGAAACCAAGTTGGGCATGGTGGCACACATCTACAATCCCAGCACTCAGGAGGCTGACACAGGAAGATTTTGGTGACCTCATAACCATAAATATGCTTTAGTGTGTTTTTATTCTTGCTGTGGATTGCACTGGAAGCGGTAGACTGGAATGACAGGATTTCAATAATTTATCCATGGGATTACAAATACAAACTTCTCAGACTGAGACAAGGACCAGGAAAGGCTCTCTATAATGTGAACTTAGAGTTTCTTACATGCTATTACCTGTGAGATATGATTGATGGAAGATTCCATTCTCCGAAGCTGAGAAGCTTGGATGTCCAGCAACTGGAGTACATTGTTGGCCAATGCATTTATTTGATAAGCAACACTAGCTAGAGATTGGGTTGTGTATGCTTTGGTCTCTTCTAATGCTTTTCTCTTGTCTGTAGCCTGAAATAAAAACAAAAATAATAAAACATTGATTTAGGGTAACATTCATTAAGCAAGTGTTCTATGAAAATACAAACTTGTAATTTTTTTCAATTAAAAAAATCACAATTCAATCAAAAACCTTACTACACCAATCTGACAACAGTATATTAAGTGTACAGACCAACAACTGATTTTCTAATACAGACCTTGCAAGCCTACAGCATTCCTAAATGCACTAATTAGCTTGAATCATTGTTCTGGATGATACAGATTACTCTACATATATAATCATGCAGTCTGGTGAATAAAAAGTTTACTTTTCCCTTTCCGATATGGATGTCTTCTGTTTCTTTTCCTTTTTCTACTGCACTGGCTAGGAATTTTAGTGTAATACTGAACAGTACTTGTTTCCAATGTTAAAAAGAAACATATTCAGCATTTTAACATTAAACCACAGAAAATAGGTTTTTCCACAGATAACTTTTTTTTTTTTTTTTGTGGAACCGGGGATTGAACTCAGGCCCTTGCGCTTGCCAGGGAAGCGCTTATTCCACTGAGCCATCTCCCCGGCCCCTCCCCAGCTTTCTTTATATGACTGTGGAACTAAGAATTATCAATGAAATATTAGTAGAAATGGTAGCATTTCCAGGTATAAAAATCACTCATGCATGTTCCACACCAATAAAGTAAAACGTAGTCCTACCAAAACAAAGTTGTATTTAATATAAAACAATAGTTTATGATGCTTCCCTTTTTAAATTTAAAATAACTAAGGCTTAACTTTAAAATGCATTTTGAGGGGCCGGGGAGATACCTCAGTAGAATAAGCACTTGCCTGACAAGTGTAATGGCCTGAGTTCAATCCCCGGTTCCACCAAAAATTAAAAATTAAAAAAAATAAAATGCATTTTGCCAGGCCAGGTGTGGTGGCATACACCTGTAATTCTAACACTCAAAAAGGCTGAGGCAGGAGGATAGCTACAAGTTCAAAGCCAGACTGGGCTACAAAGTGAGTTCAAAGCCAGCCTGAACAGCATAGAGAAACCCTGCCTCAAAAAGACAAAAAATAGGAAAGAAAGAAAGGAGGAAGAGGAAGAGAAAAAGAGAGACAGAGACAAGAGAGACAGACACACAAAGAGGAAGAGAGGGAGAGAGGGAGAGAGGGAGAGAGGGAGAGAGGGAGGGAGAATTTCATTTCCCAGTTTTGTAATATTTCAAGTGCTCTATTGTGGCACATATGCATTGTGAGGACCTTACAGGGTGCAGGTCTAGCCATCATTAATTTCTCCTAAAGATTATGAATCTGAAAAGTAAATCTGCACAAAAATTGGTTATAAATGTATTTCAAGTTTATAAATTCAGTATGAAAGAGTTACGTTCTCCTCCCTTAGATACTTTGTATTTTTATAAAATAAGGGTTCTACAGGTCACACAAAGGGCTTATAAATTAGAAGATAAACTGCCAGTATATATTCTTAGCTATATAAGAAATCAACCTCTTTCTATCTCACCTGTCTTTCAATCTCTTTCCATCTTTCTCAAGGCAGTTAAAATGTATGTATCTACTTAAAAAATTAACATACAGCTTCCTCTAAATTACCAAACAAAAGACAGCAATATCTCAAATTACAGAAATTCAAATAGGAAAGAGTATTTTAATTGTGTCTCCTATTTCCCTGTAAGTATAGTATAATATATACAAATATAACTCCTGTTATTGAACTTCAACTTTAATAAGCTTAGTTTTATAAATTCACATTATACTTGGCCTTATGTTTGCTAAGTTTGAATCACAAAGCCACTAAAATTTAGTTTCACTAATGTTTTCATGTATCCAGAATCCTTTTTTTTTTTTTTTTGAAAGATAAGGGATATCTTAGTATTACAAGAAATACCAGAACACCAGTATCATTTTGGTGTAGCTCTAAACTTCACTCTTATCTCTTCAAATAGATTTAATATTTAATCAATTTAATATTTTAATTATTTAATATTTAATCAATTTAATATTTTACTTAATGTAATATAATTTTAATTAAAAATAAATTTGAAACGTTGCTTTATTATTTATTCATTTTAATTATTCACTAATAATACTGCTTTCTTCCAACTTGTCATTGTGGTATTTTGGCTGCATATTTAAGTTCCAAACACCAACCTATTAGCTAACTTGAAGAGCTACATTCCTAAAGCCCTACTATTGAAAAATGTAATATAGAGTAAAACAACAAAATCTATACCTATACTTAGCCTACCCTATAGTAATGACCTGTAAAATAACATTTTAGAGTAACAATACAAATTAAAATGTTCTTTCTTACTTCCCCCCACCCCCAGAACCAGGGATTAAACTCAGGCCCTTGCGCTTTTGCCAGGGAAGCTTATTCCACTGAGTCATCTCCCAGGCCCTTCTTACTCATTTTGAACCTTCTTTGAAAACTGCTTTAATTACTGAATTGAAATTGAAAATAATTTGAAAATTATTACTAAAAAACTAACTTTTCTGTCTCCTAAGCACAAGTTATCTGATGACCTTCTCTGGGTAAAAAGAAAAGTCTCACATGCATTTAAAATAAATTTAAGTTTTCTGCCACTTTGGCTCTATGTCTTTTAACTTTCTTCACACTCTTTCTAGAAACACCATGTCTATCACTTTTTTTTAACATTTTAATTTACTTGGAATTCAAACCTAAATTCAAATTTCTCTAACTTCCAAAGGAAAACTCTATCTGTTCTATTTCATTCTGTATGTTCCAAGAGCCAAAGACTGTTCACAGATGTTGATAAAACATGTCTCTGTGTGAGAACCCACAGCCCTGTCTTTTCCATCAAAGGACACAAACAGGAGTGCCTCCATCTCATACTCTAGTTCCCCCTAGGCAGCCTTTCTCCAAACACTGAAATTACAATACCTGCTCGGTTTAAATTCTGGAAACACAGCTATAGACCAAAGTACCTTATCAATAGCCAAGGACCTTTTGTTCCCTGTACTTTCTCTCCTCTCACTCGTCCTTCCCCTCAGCATCCTTTCCGATCTTCCCCTCCATCACTTAAACTAGCCAACCAAAAATGACAATAATTCTTAAATTTAGACAGTGAATTTTAAAGGACAGCTGCTTCCCATGTTGAGAGCTTAAAACACTCCATCCACCAGCTCACTGCCTTCAGTCTAAGTGCACTCTTGCCCTTCTAGAGAACTTGAAATACAGAAATGACGCAGTAAAGAGCCTGCAGCGGAGGAGAGTTGTTCGGATCATGGCAACCAGGAAGCAGAAAGAAGAGAGGAGCTGGGAAAAGCAATATACTTCTCCAGGGGACATCATCAGTGACTCATCAGGCCCTGCCGCCAACAGCAAGTCAGTTTTAAGGCCCCTCCCCCAAGACTGAGTCACCTTCCTAAAGCCTTGCAGGAGGTGTCTAGTGGTCATTCTCAATCTAAACCATAAGAGCCAGTCTTTAAATGTTCATGGTGGTTCTTATATCTAGAGACCTGGCAGCTCTACTTTGAATTCCATCATTCTCGCCAGCATGAATCAGGAGTGGTACATGTCTGTTCCACCGCACATTATCACTTATCAGGAGAATCTTAGATTACAATAATACAAAGATGGGGCCCTGGCCCTAGCTCAGTTCTTTAAGTGGCTGCTTCCACCAAGCTGTCAACCTCAGGTGGCTCTAGTTTGATCCCCACAACTCTCCAGCCAGCCAAACAAGCCCTGAGGGCATTCGGAGAAAAAAAACAAAAAACAATAATACAAAGAAAGGTATTGATTTAGCAGACCAGGTGTCATCATATTATACTTTCTTAAGGAAACATTAAAATGGCATAAAAAACTGTAACAGCTAATTTGTGGTACAGTAATTGTAAATGCCTATTATTATATACTATTAATGGGGTACATATAATATTTCCATGTTAAAATTTAAAGAATTGGGGCTGGGGAGATGGCTCAGTGGAATAAGTGCTTCTCTAGCAAGCGCAAGGGTCTGAGTTCAATCCCCGGTTCCGCCAAAAAAATAAAATAAAATAAAATTTAGAGAACTGATAAACTATGAATATTAAATTTCTTTGAATTTAATGAAATGATATTGATTACCATAATAATTTTATTTGGTAATTATAAATAATATGAATTAGTATTAACATTTGGGCAATAATTATTAAAATCTAAGCAACTACACTGAGACCATTTATAGACTTTTCATTAACTTTATTAGTAAAATAAACTGATGAAAGTGATTAACTGTGCCAATGGTATAGGCCACCCAACAGAACAGGCATGCCAGGTACCAACAATGGTTCAAGCCAGCGAGAATATGTTAATTTTTTACTGAGACTGGGTGTCATTAAGTTTCCCTAGCTAGACTCCAATCTGCAATCCTTAGCCTCCTGGGTAGCTAAGATTACAGGCAAAAGCCACATACCCATGTAAACTATGTTTTTAAACTTTCACAAATCAAGGTATATCGCCAAAGCACTTCCAATAACTAGATAATTCAGCTCTGCAATTTTAAGATTTACCATAATAATATACTAAATCATTAACACTTTTCTCAAACTAATTCCTTTACCATCTTTTATAATACTACAATCCTTAAAAATAGGTTTAAGGCAAAAACCAAAAAAAAATCAGTCCTAAAAAGAACAACTATCAAGACAGGGGATATCACAATCCCTGACTTGAAATTATACTACAAAACTACTGTGATAAAATCAGCATGGTACTGACAAAAAAACGGACCTAAGGATCAATGGAACAGACTAGAAGATGCAGACAGAACCACAAACACACTCAGCCACTTTAACAAAAGGGCCACACATGTTCACTAGAAGAAAGATAGCCTCTTTAATAAATGGTGCTGGAAAACTGTCTTTCCACATGCCAAAGGCTAAAATTAGACCCATGTCTATCATCATGCACTAAAGTTAAAATGGATCAAAGATTTAAGCATAGGATCTCATCTGTTTGAAACGTTTCTGTACATTAAAAGAAATCACTCACAGAGTAAAATGAAAC